CCCCCCCCCCCCCCGGGGACCAGGGAGACTTTCTCCAGTCCCAGGAACCCCATGTGCTTGGGCCTTGAAAAACTGTGCGTGCAATTAACAGGACCTTAAATGTAGTGTGTGCCCAGGGGCATGTTGACATATGTACACCATGTGATCTTTCACATCCATCAGATTTTTCATGTCCACTCAAATACATTTCACAGTAGTACACAAAGCACTTCGGTTCTCAGCTCCAAACAGCCTAAGACAGCACAATTCATTAAGAAGAAACAGCAAAACAGATAAGCAGGTGCTCTCTCAAATTGCAGCCTAAACCAATTCCTTTTAAATGTTGATTTGCCCCTATTTCTTTCTTCAATTATCATGCAAAATGGAAGCTTGTAATTGTTGAATGATGTTTTGCAAACACTCTAAGATTCAGATACATGCCTTTGATTATCATCAGTGGAAGCGTTATCTAAATCCCAGATATTGGAAATCAAAAACATTCATAATTTGTTCTAAGATGATAGTTTCCTCAGAACTGTACAAGAAGAGAGAAAAAAAAACCTACAAAGATTGTAAAGCAGAGGCCAAATTCAGCATCAATACCCTAGGAAAGTAATGTAAAAAATGTTTTATATACATCTTAAGGAGCTAGACAGCATCTTCAGCAACCCGGGAGAGATGAGAAGCGTGGCATGTGTGTACTCCCAAGTAATAACATAATTATGCTCTTATAGGGCACACGTATTATTGTTTGAATAAAAATAGAGAGGCTGACCTAAGTTTACAGGGCACATTAAAAAAATACCTGAAAATACATATACTTCACACATGCAACCCTGAAAGCATGCGGTGTGCACTTCAGGCAAGTATAAAAGTGATATACGGGATGAACACGTCAAATGCACAGAGGTTCTGGGATACGGTCTACAAAGATGGTGACAAATGAAGACCTCAGGAAAAATGGGAGGTTCGAATAGAAGGTGGAACATGGGACGTTGTTCCAGAAGGACGGTAGATTGTGAAGAATTAAAAAAAAGCCGAAGACTTGAGAGAGGAAATAGTGAGCAACAAGACGATGCTAAGGATGATGTGGAGAACTGCTGTGAAGGCAAATGAAATGCAAGCAGAGCTATTGGTAAGGAAAAGAGTTGTGAAGAACTATGCCAGAAGGGATTCTCATACACAGTGAACCCTTTAGTCTGGAAGTCATGACTGATGGAATGGGTCAACTGTGCCCTCAAGCACGGTGGTCAATGGAGAAATGAATAGTGTGCAGGAATAGAGTACTGTAATGAAGTGGTTTGGTTTGAAATGATTTCCCTTAGACGGAATGACTAGTCATCACCTGATTAGAATGCAACATATGTTCCATCAGACAGAGCTAAGAAACGTCTGTACACTCAGCTGCATTTGGGATAATGGGCCGCTTATTTGCCACAGGCACCGTGTGTTCTTTTCCTCTTACTTCTAGTGGCAATTAACCTCCCTGTTATTAAGGATACAGATCTAAAAGTGGAAGACAAACACACTCGTTTGCAATACACAGCGCTGAGGAAACAAGATCCTTCTGCACGGACTGATTTCATCAAACGTGCCTTAGTGATGCACAACAAGGGAACCGGCGAGGAAGCAAACCAACCCTTCAGCCTAAATCCTTGCTCTGGGAGCAAAAGCAGAGGGCAGGTCCTCTGCCAAAGAGAAACTTAACTGGCATCATTAATAGTACAATACTCTTGGAAGAGCCAATTAAATATACATGGGCAATGCAAAGCTACATCCAAAGCAAAACAAGTTCCAAACTAATGCAACCCTTCAGATTTTAGTCAACGACTGTAGCACTTTGCTTTGAATTTGTAAAGATCAAGGCATCTGATTGGGGAGGGAAATGGGGGGTGGGGGGGAGAGGGGAGGGCAGACAGCTGGGATTTTTGAGCAAGTAGCAAACAAGATGTTTTAAGTTTGGGTATAAGAGGGACAGCACCTGGGAAGTTATATGGAATCTAATCTATTGGAAAGATCATGATGGAGAGGAAATAATGAGACACATAAAGGCAGCAACTTTCCTCACGGAGGCAGCAAGCTATACATTGTTTGCATTTGGAGATGTTCTAAATTTTAGGCATGCTTGCAGACTGCAGCACTCATCTCCTGTGTTCTGGTATATCCCAATGGGATACATGGCAGACTTCAGCTTGCTGTATAGGACAGCACCAAATGGTGTTTGCATGACCTAATGGCTTCTGCTTGATTGATCTAAGGCCTCTCCACCTCCAAATGACACAGGCAGAATAAAGACAACTATACACCTCCTTTCACGTTCAGAAGACCTTTGCCTGCCTTGGCTGCTGGTTGGCATCAGAGGTCCAATTTGTCCTTCATCTGCAATTGTATTTCCCATGCTCACCCTTGCTGCACAGAGGCAGTTTCTACACTGATAGCTCAAAGCACCAGCATTATGGAGAGCTATTTATTATTAAATTTACATTTCCATACCACATTGTTTTATTGGCGACAGGCTCCTGCATTTACAAGGTCAGATCTTGTGTTAGGGAATGTACACAAACAGGCAATGGTTACTGTGGGCTAAATTAGGAAACCATGCATTAGCTCAGAATTTGTCATAACTTGTAGATGGCCACACAAGCTCTACAGTTAATTCCATTTCTTAACAAACTTAGGCACAGGTCCAGAAGCAGTAAGATGATCACATGAGCTATGAAGCATCATGCACAGAAAGGAAGGGCTGGGCAAAGATTTAAGGAAACCTCTACATACCAGCAGAACCGTCCCAAAGGTCTGCATGATCACACAGGGACTTTGGACACATGGTGATGCTCCTACCCCAAATTCAGGTTTGACAGGCCTTTTGGTAGCTTCATGAAGGAGACTAAAGAGAGATGGGCATCACCTCATAAGAGCCGGAGCTTCAAAGCTCAGTAAACCCTTTCAGGAGTTGCAGCCTATTGTTGTTTAGTAGGGCTGTGCGAAGCTTCAGTCCCCGATTTGATTCGGTGGAGATTTGGCCCGATTTGGTGGCTGAATCTCTGAATCCACATCGAATCAGAGGACCCTTTAGTCTCCGCAAATCGAATCAGAATGCTCCGAATCGATACGGAGATTCGGACATAGACACAGCTTTAAATGTTTTTTCTACATACTTCAAGGTACCAGGCAGCTTGTGAATGCTGCGATATTGGGGTGGATGGAGCGTCCCACAGAAGCATGGGGGGCCACTTCCAGGTCTGCTGGGGGGGTGGGGGGCCTGCCGCACCCCCCACCCAGTTCAGTGACAGGTGCCTCCTGGTTTTGGGGGGGGCTGTGGTTGATTGCCGAGCTGTAGAGGCGTGGGGAGGGGGGGGCAGCACACTCCCCAGCAGATCCGGAAGTGGACCAGAAGTACTTCCAGTCTACTTCTGGGTTCACCTCCGAGCACATGCAGGGCCCCCCCGCACTCCTGTGGGATGCTCCATGTGCCCCAGCATCACCGCGATCAGGAGCTGCGCCTGCTGCCTCAAGCTATGTAGAAAATGTTTTTAAAGTTGTGTCTATGTCCTAATTGCTGATTCTCCAAATCAGCATTGAGTCTTCAGATTCAGCCAAATCGAATCAGGGACAGTGATCCGAATCAACAAATTGAATCACTGTCCCTTATTCGGTCCAAATCCGAATCAAATAGGGCCCACTTCACACACCCCTAATGTTTAGCTGCTTACTGCACTGTTGCAGCATCCTTACTTAGCTTGACACACTGGGTACAGAAGAAGAAATGTCTTTCTGTCTTTGCATTTCCTTTTTAACTGGGCAGCATCCCCTCTTTGGGGAAAATAGCTCCCAGAGTAAAGGAACCTATTAATACCCTAATATAAGATAGGGTTTTACCACTTGCAACCCAGACTCAGTCGACTAAAATAGGAAATACCTTGAAGGATTAGGGCCTTAGCAACACACCTGCATACCCGAGTTTTATCCAGTCCTTTCTTGTTCAGAGCACTTTGGTTTAGTCCCATTGACACAAGTAGGGACACCAGAACAAGGCCCTTCCTCATTCCCTTTCCCTAAGGAAGGTTTCCAGTACAGAATTTATTTCCATAACAACCTACTACTGAACAGACCTTAAGTGCATAGCAAATAAAGGACTGCGGGAAGGTGGGTGGAAGCAGATAAACTCTTAAGAGGCTTCACACAAGGGAAGGATGGAGAGAAATTTGAAAACAGCTTTCATGTTTTCACAAAGCCAGAAAGCTCCTAGCAAAAAGAAATAAAAACCTAACTTGTTAAAGCAGTTTTTATTTAAGTATTTGGAGGGAAACTCATATCACAAGTAAAAATGCTAAAGTTGAATGGTTGTAAAAAAAAAAAAAATGATGGTGGTTGGTGTTCTGTGGTTGAACACAGTAGTTTGCCATGGGAAGGGGAAGTGAGGGTACTTGTAATATACTCCCTTTCAAATTAAAAAAAATAAATGCTAATTAACTGCAGTACATTTCGTCATTTTTATACAGTCAAGAGAACAAAAACAAAAAGCAATCTAAGCGAATGCAACCTACAATGGAATAAATTCACTTGCAGTAGAGACAGAATAAGACTGCTTTTATGAAAATTACAAAGAAACATGATACAACAAAATAGGATGTGGGGTATTGTTCACTAAGATTAAAACAAAACAAAAAATCACTTTTTGAACATCATATTACTCAAACACATATGACGTTTCAATCTAGTTTTTCCTTATACATGGGAAACACTGTTGAAGTGATTCTTCACGAGTAAGAAAGCACCGCCGACTGTTGCCCAATACCGTTAATGCACACTGAAGAAAAAGGAAATGATCTAGCATGATGCAAACTTCATTAAGTGTTTATATAGCTTTTCTTTAAGAAAAAAAAAGTGGCAACAAGTCATTACTTCAGTGTCAAAATGTACTCATGTTTGGTTGACTTGCTCATTGAGGTGGATTTCTCATGTAGACCTATGCAGCTTTTTATATGCTATGTAAAGTGGGGTGACTTTGCAGTGTAGCATTCCAGATGAGATTGGAAATCAGCCTGTTTTCTAAACCTTGAGAAGCCAATCCTAGTAAATAGTTCTAACTCTAAGCAAATGGAATAACTAAATGCACTGTCTTGAGTGGAATCCTCATCTGTGTGAAGCAGAAATGGACTAGATTCCACTGAACTTGATTTGATATGTAATGTCTTGAAGCAGATGTTATAACAAAATAACTCTTGATTTACCTCACTGAGGCCATTAATGCTGTTCCTATAACTGGTTTTCTGGAGTAGGATGACACTTCTTTGCTGTCCAAAGTGAGTTTGAACCGTTAACTTCTCCAGAGTTTGTTCACTTTGTTGCTTACATTATTGCACTAGCTACTAAAGTCTTATATCTTCCTAAATAAATCTAATTGTTCAGAGTGCAGATTCTATATTTAGATAATGAACTGAATTAAATAAATAAAATAAAGGGGGTTTTCTGGTCAGAGCTGCTGATATGTTTAATATCTTAATAACTTCTAAAGTAAACGGTTTTGGTGCATATTCTTAAAACCTATGGTCATTCAGCATAAAGGCTTTGACTTAACACTAAGAATGGATTTGTTTTCCTTCTCAAAATGCAACGCAGAATTGTTTTAAATACAGAATCTGTGAGCCATCCTACAAATTTTTCTAAATTGTAGTACAAACATAGTTTGTAATTCAGGTAATATAGAAAGTTCTCTAGTGTCCATTGAAGTAAGGTCCCCAAAAGGCAGTCTGTTTTGTTTCTGCATGGAAAACATTGCAAAACATTAAGTGGTTCCACTGGCTGAATAGGAGAACTGAGGAAAATGAGGTCTTCTCTCATTATCGACACAATCCATACTGTCATCTGCAAGCAGACAAACACCATTTTACATTATACTGAATAATAATTTGTACGTTTTCATTTTAAAGCAAGTGCAAATGACTTCTTTCAACAAATTCAGTGTGCAAAAACCATAGCTAAAACTATCAAAAGAAAAGCAACCTTCAAGACCTGCCTTGAATCTCTGTATCAACCAATAGTCATAAAAGAACGGGTTTTCTTTTGCTTTTTGGTTTTTTAAATCTCCCTTGCACAATGTGCAGAGGTGTAATGGTGGTGATCTTCATTTAACATTACAGGCATAACGTTGGTATTTAGTGTTACGAAGTGACTATACAGTTACCATTTACCTAGAACATATTTAAGCACACCAGCCCTGATGTAGTAACTGCTTACATATGCAGTGGACAGAATGTGGGTACACACATAATTCCAATTCCTGAGCAGAGTGGTTTCCCAATGGGAAATGATGATTCAGCAACATAAAACACACATTTCAAAAGAGCTGTTCTCATTTAAAGCTATTTCACTGTTTTCATTCATTCCATTTGAAATGAAATGTCGATTTCAAATTCTTATTTCATTTTCATTCCAAAACAACTGTTTCAAAACTTTGTACACTGCCAGGTATATCAAGTATTTAAAACAATGTCAGAATTGGAATGAAATATTGATTCTACCAAAAACAAAACATTTTAATTCATCCAAGGCTAAATTGGAAAGGAAAGAACAGTGCTAGTTAAAGTACTGGGGTTTTGTAGGGATGACTGAGAAAGCTGGGGTAGTTCCTACAGCTCACCAAGCACTCACTAGAGCGACAACCCTGAGTTACTCTGGCTGCAGACAGAAATTACAGTGCAGGTGCGACGGGATCTGATGTAGGATCCCAGCAATGACTCTTCCTGCTGTGCCATCATATCCCATCACACCAGTGCAAGGGTGCATGACTGCACCAGCATGTAGCCAGCTTGGCTCCCTGCGCTCCACTGGCCAGGAATCCCCAATCGACTGACTGGAGCTCCCAGCTGGGAGAGCACAGGGTAACCCTTGGATCTGATGCACTCCCCCGGCTGGGAATGCCCATCAGCTTACTATGGCTCCCAGCTGGGGAGCACACCTTGCAATCCCTCACTTGGGAGCCCCAGTCAGCTGCTTGCATAGTCCCCGTCAGGGGAGCACATGGGAGCCAAGTGGCTTGGGTGTTCCCCTTGCTGGGAGCCCCTGATCAGCTGACCTGTGCTCCCAGACTCTGCAACACACAGGACTTCTGAAGGGCTCTGGTGTGCTCCACAGGCTGGGAGCACTGGCCACACATTCAATTAAAGGTGTGATAGGAACCAGACACAAAGTTATTTCACATCTTTTGTATAACTTTGTGGGTCATTCTTTGTTTCATCATGCCACTAACTGAATGAATGTGTGGCCGCATCACTACTTAAGACGTGATTAACTATTAATCACGTCTTAAGTGTAACATCTATCAAGGGGCCTATTATCTAGGGATGAGCCTTGAGGGACAAATTTAGATGCACATTTCTAAACATCTGGAGGCTGGATACAGGATTTTGGTTTGCACCCAGCTTTGCTGCTAGCCCTAATCTATACAGGCAACAAGAAGTGAAAAACCCTTGAGGTCAAAAACCCCCAATCAGGCACAAATCACAAAATGTAGTTATGTACCAGGAAAAAGATCCCAGATGCCTGTGAACAAACATTTCCTTGGCATTTTGTAAAAAAACTACTGAAAATCGTCTTGAGATTATTCAGGGGAAGATGGTGCTAGTTTTGTTCAGGATACTTTACCTTGGTCAGGCGGAGTGATTGTAATCATCTGTGCTGTAAATTCTTCATCAAAGTATCTTGTATCTGTTTCAGATGTAACTTGTGGCTTAAATGGAGGTACAAGCTGCAAAGCAAAAGACGAACTAAGTTTAAGTGTTCCTGAAATACAGTGTTAACAGGCAGGCTTTGAAGTGCAGCTGGGACTGACAGTAATTTTTGCTGTACTACAGATAAAACAGCTCACAGGAAAGAAATGGGCCAATGTGTACACAGGATTTAAATGTGCATTTGCTCTTTATGGATTGTTCTCCCTTCCATTTTGCTTGCAGCAAGGCAAGAGATCTGGACTTCTGATGCTATTTCAAGCAACACAAAAAGAACAGATACCTCATTAAAATTATTAAAGGTTGGTCTCTTTTTAAAATGATGTACACATTTGTAGGTCTCCTCTATTCTGCTTTAGATCTGGAAAGGGACAGAAGTTGAAAGCCTGTCTCGTGCCCCCCAAACTGATTAGAGAGTAAGGAGCTGGGCACAGTGACATCAAACGTCCTTCCGATTGCACGGAAACCAAACAACAAGCACATAGGGAGCCTTGTGGGTTTACAGAAAGCAGGCATGGGCAGTGGGCAGCATCTTTCTCTGGCTAAACCACAAGTGGCACAGTCAGTGTCTTCTCTGTGCTGTAAAATTCTTGGGCATGAGGGACAGAAGTCAGCCACATGTAAGCAGGATCTCCGGATGGAGCAGAGATGCTTGAATGGGGTGTGGGAGGAGGCAGGCTGGGATGAAAGAAAAAGGAGCTGTTCTTTCAGAAGAGCGTTTGGAGTCCAATGTCCTTGGGAGACAAGCTTTGGTCACTCTCCCACTACATGACACTGTAGCAACTGAATGCAAACAGAGCAGAAGGTTTTTTGCCATCCCCAAAAGCACAAACAGCTCTAGATGTTCATCTTCAGTTCTCCTACCTCTGGTGGTACACAGCCATCTTTTAATAGCACACAAACTGCGCAACGAAACAGTTTAGGAGCGGGCTAGAGGAATTATGCTGCACCCAGTGAAATCACAGGGGAAACATTTATCTAGGCAAAATGCTAAATCACTCCACCAGGAATTCAGCAGGCGTGGAAGTTTATACTACTAACCCTTACGCAAATAAAAAGAAGTTCTACTAAAAGTTTCTATTTGAAATCTGTCAGCAGAACCTGACTTTAAAACCCCATCCACCCTCTGCTTCATCCTAAAAGCCAGAGCTACTTGCTCAGGGGAAAGACACTGGGTTCATCCAACTAGCTTAGGAACCATCTTTTTATTCTGAGTTGGTAGAGCAGAGCTCCAAGGCCCTGCTATAAGATAGTAAGAAACAGAAGAACTGGAAGATTCCTTTATTCAGATTAGATTAAATCTAAATGGTTAAAAGCATGACCCACCAGTAGAGGACCCACATACAGGGAGGCTGCAAAGAAGTAAATTTCCATTTCCAGAATGAATACCTTCCCTAAAAACTGCCAGCAGAGTAGATTTTGAAACGCTCTTTCAGAACCAATAATTCTGAGGGTCCAGGGATGCCTTCAAGGGTGCTGACAGGCACTCAGCCCTTTCAGAGCTCTGACTGGGTTTAAAAAATGAAGGTACTTCAAAGCACAGGTCATTCTTGAAACCATAGAGCACACCAGCTATGCATTACTCATGGTACAACAGCAGATAATTCTGTCGTGAAAGGAAGCAACCCAAGCAATTCCAGCCAGGAATGAGGGGTATGCATAATGGAGGGAGGAAAGACCCCTTTTTTCTCCCCCATTTTTAGACCCTGCTATTCTTACAGCCATACACTGTCCTGTTCTGTTTGGCTTTCAGGTTCCTCCCTGACCTTTTTAGCTAATGGTGTTGTTGGCGTTTGTACTGTTCCCAGACGCTCTCTAAATTACTGTCTGCAGCAGAGGCTCAGCATGTGGGGTGATTTAGGACTTGGACACTGCAGCAGACACCTACACTCTGTGCTCCAGGAGGGCTGGGGATAGCAGAAAACTGCAGAACACAAGAGCCTGAGACAAATGTGATCCGGCGTATTTCAGGAAAAGATCCTTGTAAAACTGGAATCTAAGCCAGAATAAGGAGCAGCCCAAAGAGGTGGCAAGATTCTTATCAGCCTCCAGGTTTGGGATATTAAAGTAGGAGAGAGCTGTGCAATTCGACTGGCTGAAAGGTGCCATTTGTAGCACAACCCATGCGGACTGAGTATGCTCTTGGGGGGGTCCAGGCTCAAAGAAACTCAGTGCCACAAGGAAGGAAACTTCCTCCAATCTGATTCCTTCTAATGCCTAAGGAAGCAGGGTTTTGTATGCTCTTGTACCAAAAAGAGGCCCAACTCCATCATCAATTTTTCCTCCTAAATGGTACAATGTTCAAGACCCCAACATTTAGTTAACCAGACCGGTTGACAGGAATCACCAATTACCTCTACATGCAGCTCTCTTTACAACAATTGTTCCTAACACTAGACTGGATACATCCTATGCAATCAGAAAGCTGGCATGCAAAAGTCAAGGACATAAGGCATCTGCTGCAGACATCCAGCAAGCAATAGAAGGGCTATCGTAGAAGCAGGAAAAATACGGCCCCACCAGGAAATTTCATCCAGCCTGTGGGCTCCCACCAATTAATTGTACCCTGCCCAACCCGCAGGCCTTGCTCCCACCCTTGTGCGTTGTGGAGCCCTGGCTCAGCCAGCACGCAGCTTCCAGGTGGGGCTGCTGCTGCCACTGCTGCATCTGCTGGGTGGGGGCAAGGAGCATGGGGTTGGTGGAAGCGCAGAGCCTGCGCTCAGAGGGTGGCAGGAGTGTGGAGCTCGGGTGGGCAGGGTGTGGGTGTGAGGGAGTGTGTGGGGGTGTGGGGACCCCCCACAACCCCCCCCCCAGCAGCAAGCAGTGGGCCCTTGGGGCACTTGTGGCCTGCTTGCAGCTCTGGCCAGAGCCACACATGGCAGCAAGGAGTGCATCCAGGCTGGTCTGCCTCTATTGTGTGGGGCTCCCTGTGGCACAAAGCCGCGCACGATGGAGCCGGCTGCATTCCCTGCTCCCTGCCACCATAGACACAGGGGGCAGAGCTCCCTGCCACTTCCAGCAGAGTCCCAGCAGCTGCACATGGCAGCAGGGAAGGCAGCCGGCACCATCATGTGGGGCTTCTCCCTGGTGGCACATGAGTGCTGGGAGCTGCACGTGTGCCGCGGGGAGCCCCATGCAATAGAGATGGGCTGGCCTGGCTGTGCTCCTTGCCACCATGTGCAGCTCTGCTAAAGCCACATGCTGTCAAGCTGCAGCAGCACCTGTACAGACCACAAGTGGCCCAAGGGCTTCCTGCTGCTACTGTTGCTGCAGCCACTCGTGGGGGCTGTGCACCATAAGGGGGATTGTACAGGAGATCCCGCCCCCTCCCAAGCAGCCCACAAAACCCACACACCCACACTCTGCTCTCAACCCCGCCTTCACATACACCCCTCTTGCAACATACCCTACACCTCCTCACACACACAGCCACACTGTCTCACAAACACACACCCCGCTACACCCCATCATACACACGCCCCCCAGCCGAAATGATTGCCCACTCCTGGGTTATTGAGTGTTGTCAGCATAAAATTAGACCTTCCAGCCAGCTCTTGGTTTGCTGGCCCTTACACAAAAAGCATGACTTACTAGTTCTCCAATTCTCTGGTCTGCTTTGGTCTGGTGAGGTACTGCAGGAAACCTATACAAATCCAATTTTCCCAAGACTTGACAAGAACAAAGCAAGCAGAAGAATGAGACCCAGTAAAACACTGGGGAGGAACAATTGGCACCACACATACAGGCTGGGGAACTCCCCTCTTGTCAGCACGGAGGTGGAAAAGGATCTGGGAGTTATTATTGACTCCAAGATGAACATGAGTCGGCAATGTGGGGAGGCAGCTAGGAAGGCCAACTGCACCTTGTCGTGCATCCACAGATGCATCTCGAGCAGGTCCAAGGAGGTGATCCTCCCCCTCTATGCGGCACTGGTCAGGCCGCAGCTGGAGTACTGCGTCCAGTTCTGGGCGCCGCACTTTAAGAGGGATGTGGACAGCATCGAGAGGGTCCAGAGGAGGGCCACTCGTATGATCAAGGGACAGCAGGGTAGGTCCTATGAGGAAAGGTTGCGGGACCTGAACCTGTTCAGCCTTCAAAAGAGAAGGCTGAGGGGGGATCTTGTGGCCTGTTATAAACTGGTTAGGGGGGATCAGCAGGCGCTGGGGGAGTCCCTGTTCCCCCGAGCGCCGCAAGGAGTGACCAGGAACAATGGTCACAAGCTGGCGGAGGGAAGGTTTAAGTTGGACATCAGGAGGCGCTACTTCACGGTCAGGGCGGCTAGAGTCTGGAACCAGCTTCCAAGTGAGGTGGTGCAGGCTCCCACCCTGGGGGTTTTTAAGAGGAGGTTGGATGACCACCTTACTGGGGTCATTTGACCCCAGTGCTCTTCCTGCCATGGCAGGGGGTCGGACTAGATGATCTGCTCAGGTCCCTTCCGACCCTAGAAACTATGAAACTATGAAACATGTGTATGATCAGGGTGTGTTTGGCGATCTGCTTTCTACAGAAAGAGGCAGTTTTGTTAGAGTTGTAACTTTCCTGGTTTTGGAAAAAAGCAGGTCTTCCAGGAGCAGGGACAAAGGTTTATGCTGTAACTCAAAAATGTATGAATAATCTTCAAATAGTTCAAAACTTTAGCCTGGCAACCTTGACAGTGTCCTCTAAGAGGATCAGCATATCCCGGTCACATGCTGGTACTCAAGTGTGAAGTATGCAATGCTGAAGTACTTCATCAGCATTCAAATTCATTGCACTCCTTCCCTCCTGAGATATGACATAAAGAGGGAAGCTTCTTTGCTAATACTTCTTTCTGGAATTGGGAACATGTGTCATACTATACTTTGCATGCTATATATTTTGCATTGCATTAGGGACTTTGCAACACCTTTACAACTATCATGAATGCAGAAAGTGCTTGGAAAGGACAAAGGTGGGGTCTACAAACACTAGGAAAAACTACTGTGCTACAATCTCTTTGTTCCTCTTAACAGCATGTATCTGCAAGAAGATGGGAGGGGGTAAAGGAGGAAACAGGGTGCTCTTTGTAATCTTGTATTCACATTGGACAACCCCCAATACAGTACACAAGCCAGCAATGTCATGATATGGAAATTGCTAACAGATTATTGCATTAGTTATACCAAAAGGAATCCAAACAGCCAAGGATTGAAACAGATCATGCACTATATTCAATAAAAGGACACTAGTTAAAAACAGTATAGTCTGCATGCCTATTGGGGCCCAGAGAAGTCATAGGCTCTTCTGCAACAGAGGACAGACTAGACAGATCCCTGTTTATGCATTAAATAGGACTTAACACAATGAGAGGACAACAGGACAGTAAAACCAGGAGGCTGGAAAAAGGCTACAATTACTCAAAGGCTATCATGATGGCAAAGAGGGCAGGTTTTCTCGCTCTGTGGATGTCCCATTTGGTTAAACTTCCTGTAGGCATCATGAGAGTGGTTTGAGTAGACCTGAATGCACAGGGAAAGTGATCTTGCAGATCAGCTCAGATAAGGCAAAGAAGGTACTGTGGAAGAGAGCACCACGATGCTTATAGTGGAAGGCACCGAATGGTTAATGCCTGTCCCATCACAGGGTTAAGTTGCTGACTTCAATGGTTCCTGTTTGAGGACCCAAGGGTAGGGCCCGAAGAGAAGTGGGTAAAAAAAATCCTAAGCTCCGATGAGTAACAGTGCCTCTGTATCTACAGAAACCTCATTAGAACTGGACAGATTTTACAAATCCACACTGGATTTTTCTGCATGCGTCTGATCTCATCTATTTTAATTATGCAGGTTTTTACTACTGCTTCTGATTACCTTCACTCTCAGGTTCCCAGACACAAAAAGCCAACTTCTGGGCTACAACCACCTTATAAGGGGAAATTATTTCCTACCACAAGAAAGTTGAATGAGACCAGCTTTGCACAAATACGTGTTTAACAAAACATGAATTTGTGGCCACTTTTGATTTGACAGAGACCCTTCTTCTCCTAGCACGGACATGGATGACTTTTCTTTAAAAGAAAAGTTTTGATTGGGAAATCCCTTAACTACAGTACTTGCAGAACAGTGTAACAATTTAGGTAGGCTTAGAAAGGGTAACTCAAGTGTTCCAGATCTCTTCTGTGCAGCTTTCTTCTACAATTTATGTAGGGGACAGTGGCGAGAAAACAATTCATTCACAAATACACTTTCCCTAAGAGGAATATTGTAAATACCTTTTTCTCATATACATCTTGCCAAACAATGCCAGCAAAAAATTTGTGTTGCATAATCTCCTTAGCGTCATCAGGACCACCACCTAACCTGTTTTGGGACAAAAAAAATAAAGAGAACATGTATTTTTCCAATAAAAGTATTGGGAAGACAGGACCTGATGAGTTATACGGTTTGTCCAATTGGCAGCAGACCCAGTATTATCACGATCTATCTAGCTGCATAAATACAGCAAAACCCATAAGCACCATTTAAAGTACATCAGACATTCTGAAATCATAGTTTAGAAATCATTATTGATATAAAAAAGACCCACCCCCCAAAACAAACAAACAAAACCACTCTTTAGAAGATCTGGGCTGGCACGGTTATGGGAAACAAAATGCCTTCTGGACATCACCCACAGAATTTGACTATGTTTCAATTAAAGAGCCAGTTACTATTGGTACCTAGGACTGATGCCAGTGAGTTTTGCACAGGAATCATCACAACCATAACTGGAAGATAATAGAATAAAACTAGCTTAACTACGGGCTGAACTGAACCAACAGAACTCCAAGAACTTGCAATGATATGGGAGATGCTATGTTCAGGCTATTAGAAAACCAACAACACACAACCTTGTTATAGAGAGATTTGATATAAAATGTGAGGCACAAACACAGAAACCCACATTGCATTTTATTCACTTTTCAAAGAAGAAAAGAAGCTTAAAAATACACTCTTCAGTAAGAGTGCCAACATGCACTGGCTTAGGGTCTGCACTTACAAGATGCCAACTCTGGTGCAATCTGCATTGGTTTTGCATGCCAGGATAACTTACACTGGATCCAATACAAACAGATGACCAGGTCTCCCTAGATAGCTGCTATTACAGAGCCTTGCCACTTGGTGGGAGAAGGCAGAGAACAGTTGTTTCCAGTGAGCAATGGGATAAGTTTTGCATTTACTAGTCACTGGATAAAAATGAGAAAACAGCATTTGGAGCAGAAGGCAGAACCCAGGATCCTCTCCCCACCAAGAGAAAGCCACCTCCACTGGTTAGGTTCCTTATGTCTTATTCTCATTCTTGCCCTCCAAATCCTGCATGCCTTTCTACCTAGTGGCCCAGTACAACAGGAAAGATGAAGAATGCCCTCAGCCCTACATAGAGCTTCGTGGAACGTTCCTCAAAGTGGAATATGTCGGTTTAAGCTCTGCCAGAATGGGGTCTAGAACCTGGATTACCTATTTCTTGGGCTAGCAACCTAACCACTAGGGTACTAGGCAAAAAGTGGGCAGGTGGAATAAGACTGCACTTAGCCACTCAGGTGTCTAAAAGTAACCTAAATACCACTTCAATGTTACAGGCCCAGGACACACACTGCATTTATGGCATGATTAAAATGTTAAATTTCACCATAAATTATAACATGGTATATGTTCCGCCACTTTATGGCACTGTAAAATGGCAAAGCAGCCACAAAGATGTTCCACATATAATGTAGAACATCTTTGAGGCTGGTCTGCATGGTGCCTTAAATCAAATGGGACATGTGTTGTGTTCCAGACCAGAGTCACCCCAACCCATATGAATAATCAGCTGCTTGTTGACATCAGCTAGGGATAGCTCCAGGTCTGGAACTGAATCCAGAGCTGCCTGGGGCCAGTGCCAACAATCACCTAATTGTCAACACTGTTTCAGACAGTTCCATTATTTCCAACTGGACGTGGGGCTGTTGGGGGCTGGTGCTGACAAACAGGTGATTTCATGCGCAAGTACTTCAACCACCAAGGTACTAAGCAAAAGTGGGCAGGTGATTGTCAGTGCTAACCCTGATTGTCAGTGCTAGCCCTGAACAGACCTGGGTCTCAAACCACACCCAGGGCTGACTGAGGCTAGTTCCAACAATTAGCTGATTGATAACAATCAAGTGCTCAAGTGTAATCCCAGCCCCAGTCTGATCCCTGAGATTGGACTGGGGGCAGCTCTGAGTCCTGAACTGGGTCCCAAGGCTATCTATGCCCAATCCCCATCTGGGGCTAGCCCCACAGCTAGGGACAAAGTTGTCCCCTGCCTGATCCACAGAATCAGGCTGGGGACAGCCCCACAGTGGCATGACTGGCATCTGCGGAATATTACATCCCATCCCAAACATGATGTGTCCTTTCATGCACTTCTGGCATGACAGGACATGCCATATTTGGGATCCAACATAACATTTGTCAGATCTGAATGGCGCCACTATTTTAGTGTCTGCCAGGAGCTACTGTCTCAGAACAGGATCTGCCTTGGTCACACAGGTCCTTTACAATGGAGCTGGAAACTGACCCCAGCACTCCCATATCCCCAGCTGGAACCTTTAGCAGAGGTCATAACTGGTATCACTATGTAACCATGCTGCAAGCTACTAAATTTCACTTACAGTATAAATCACAGGCTTGATTGTGACAATGATTTGCATAAAGTAAGCAGCAGTGTGTTATTATTAGGGCCTGGTTTAAATCGTGGGCCCAACTCACAGCACAGCAGCTCCTTTAATCTTGGAGCTCTCCAAACGTGCTCCCCCACCACCGACTGGTGGAGGGGCCTGTTGATCCTGCTGACTGTTCCTGATGGTCAGAAGGCAAAAACTGTGGTTTTAATATAGTTTTTGCGTCCCACCCAGTCAGCAGCAAGGGGCAGAATGTGAAGAGCATAGCATATTTAAATCTGTGATTTAAACCAGGCCCTCATTATTATGCTGTCCCAGAAACAGGTTGCAGAAGGAGACTCAATCATTATCTCCACCGGCTCCCCACAGGTGCAGGAAGGTACTATGCTCTGCCAGTTCTCCACCAGGCTCACTGCACATTCTCCAGTGCATCAATGCATCTATTCTGGCCAGTACAATGAGAGGCAAGCATCCCATTCCACCCACTCTACACAGGCTACTTCTCTTCCTAGACTGGTGTCTAGCACAGGGCCATGAAGTACCTTTCCAATACCCCACCCATAATCTGACTACTAGCAATGTTGCCTCACTGTGTTTTCCCTCCAAAAATCCATTTGATACAGAAAATCCAAAGCAAATACAAACTAAGAATGACACAAACACTACTTTTAACCAGCATGCAAAAAGGCTAGTGAACTGTAGACATGTATAAGTACTCTGGAGACAGCAAGCTTATAGCAGCTTTTGTTCTGCAAAGAATAAATGCACACACTTGGTGAAGTGACAGCAGGGCTGGGGGGTGTTATACTTTTTTAAAATTGATAAGGCAGTAAAATAAAAAGTAAAACGGAACAGGAAAGCTGCATGCAACAGAAAACCTCACGTTTTGGGTACAAAGGTATTTTCAACGCAGTTTTTATTCTTGCCAGGATTAGAATAAAAGGGCCTTCAGGGAGTGAACAAAAATCAAGTCAGTAACTAATGCAAGAGCACAACCATTTTTAATAAGTATTTACAATTAAAAACTTGGCATCTTGTGAAGAAATGCAACTTTATCTGGCAAAAAAAAAAAAAAAACCTGAAAGAAAAAAAAAGACTAAAAAATCTGCAGCGTAAAATTAACATCACAGCATGGAAATCGGCAGACAGAATCCAGAGTGGTATAACCAGACTGGAAAAGCAAACCACTACTAAAAAGTTTACAGTACACAGGGAAATATGAAATGAACAGAGAGGGCCAGAAGCAACAAGAAAGACTAGAGCTTAGATGGGTCTCATTAACTGAGCATGGGACATTTCTATTTATTCATGGTTGCTTTCTTCCTAGGTCAAGAACCTTTATTCTATGCTTCAGCTTAGTTCCAAAAAAAGAAACTTTATTAAAAAGGAGCTGAAGGAAAAAAAGAAAAAAAAATGAAACATGGAAATAGTCTGAGCTTGGAATTTATATGGCTTGGAAGTTATTTTAATGATTTGGCTGCTAATATCTGTGCTCCAGAAGTGAATGGCAGTCAGCATTTTCCACAGAAAAAGCACATGCAAATACCAAAACTGTTCAACATGCTTAGATCACGCAAAGGCTTATGAACAAAAATGAGCAGGTTTCTAAATCACAGACAGACCTTGCCATTTCAGCTAACTCCTCAAAGTGAAGATTAATATGACCCCTGGCCATTCCCACATTCACAAAAAATAAAATTCCAGTTCTTCAACTGAAAAATGTCACCTTTGCTGTAGCCTAGTTCCAATCTAGCAAAGCACCCGAGCACGTGCTTAACTTTAGAGGCACATGAACCATCTCACAGCCCAGAATCTGCTTTGCTGGACCAGGACCTAGTAGAGAGATTCTGAGTTTGGGACCATCCTCATCTGGAAGATCCTGACACCACTCACCTCCAGGTTCTTGACTGTTCATGGTTCATTGCTCATTCTGCGCTTCCTTCCATTATACTTGAATCTGAAGCCTCAAACCATTTCATTGTTACCTTAACCATCTCCTCAGAACAAGGGAAAGGTCACCCACAAGGATAGGACCAGCTTGGCATCTCTCACCCAGTCATTTACATGCTATCACAGGGGCCTCAGTTACCGGTGGCACCTTGATCTCTTGTGTGTCTCTGTGGCACACTGAGGACTTTGCTTCACTCAGTGGCTGAACAAAAGCACTGTACAGGGGAAATATGGCTGGTAATATACAGGTAATCAGACTAGTCTACCTAAGTTGGCCTTTCTGGCCTCAAATTCTATGGAACTATTAACCGTTGTTCCTTACAAACGTGCTCTGCTTTACAAGAACGACATGGAGAATATTCTGACCCTGGCAGCAGCCCCATATTTTCCAAAAATGGTGCAACCTGAGAAATAGGATTTTTTCCTCTTTCAGTTTGTCCTGTGGCTACATTCACTGCTTTGCAACCAGCTTCCATTCACAAGTAGTCTAAAACCAACAGTTGCATCAGCCACTCTCAGTACAATGTGGCCTGTCTGATTTAAGAATGAAAGCTACATTCTCAGCCTAGCTAAGATTACAGTAACTGCTTCCTCCAATTCAGTTCTACCACTGTAACCACTGAAAGCAGTCTACTTGACCTTCTAAGTCTACAGTGGATTCCTTCTGATAGTTACAGTGGTAGAAACTGCGTTAGCACGATGCAGCGTAGCCTATTACACCACCTT